ATTCGGAGCGTATTCTTGCTGCCCAGGACGACTTTAACATGCGCGCTATGTATTTTATGTCGGATAGCACGTGATTCACCGCAGGTTATGCGGTGCATACTATGTTTCTCCACAGTCGTGCGCTAAAATAAATAAATAATAAATGAATAAATAAATAAAAGTTATGGACCATCTTTCCGAAAGGAACCCTGATTGAATGCGAAGCAGCAGCGGTGCGCACTGAGTTGACCCGGTTGAAACGGGCGTCGATGTGGGTGCTGCAAGAACGGTTTGAAGCGAAACTTGGTGTAGCGTTTACTCGAGTAAACGTTTATTTGAAACGCAAATAGACGAGAGGCGGGTTGGGTTCCGCGTAAGTTTCATCGCCGATAAACGAACCGAAGGAGTGTTTTCTTTCGACGTGCGGTCGAGCGTTGCGGGCGGTGGAGAGAGTGAGGCGAGTGAGAAGTGTGTTGCAAGCGGGCACAGTAGCCGGCAGCTGTGGGTGCTGCGACGAGCGTGCTGCGGGAGAGGGAGAGAGTGACGTCAGTGCGTACATACAAGAGAAGCGTGCGGGGGATGCGTGGCGTCAACGCGCAGCTGCGGCATGACCTATTTGGCACCGCTGCAATACCTGCGGCGAGGGAAACGCGTTCGCGGCGCGTTCGTATGGGCACACGTACGTACGACGTTGCACACGTGAGTCAAAGCTGCCTCGCATGTAATAAATAAAATAATGAGGAGAAAGAACCCTCTGTTACCCTGTTTCTGTATACCTCACCTGCCACGCAGGTCTCAAGTTTGATTAAGTCTGCTCGAGTGTTGACCCGAAGGTCACGAGATCGAATCCCGGCTGCGATGACTGCATTCTGATGGTGGAGGAATATGCTGAGTGACCTTGTGCTTAGATTTATGTTCGCGTTAAAGAAGCCCAGCTGCTCGCATTTTCTGAATCCCTCCGCTACGGCGTCTCTCACATCATAATGTGCTTTTTGGACGTAGAACCTTTAGAGCTACGTTTCTCAGTGTAAGTATGAACATACGAAAGCGCATGTTTCTGCGTTTTGTTTCATACGCCCCCATAGAAACGCAGCCGCCGCGGCAGGGATAAAACTCAGATCCTCGAGTTGTCCTACCACTGCGGCTAACATACAAAGCGTATATCTGAATGTTCACAGTGGTAATACGCGCTATAGCTGCTTTTTGCACACAAAAAATAAAAAAAAGCCGTACATCTTCCTTTTCGCCGTCCTACCCGGGCATTGTCATGGCGTTTTCAGAAAGAAATTCCATTTTGGTGATGGTGCCATCAAGGCAACATGTGCTCACCCTCCCAAAATACGAAAAAAAAACAGAACAACACTGAAACATTTCGGCACAGCTAAAAGAAGAAAAAAAGAAAGAAACGGGAACGATGGCCATAAAGATTTCACGGAGCAGAGGTCCACGCTTTCTTATCTGTGGTTGGTTGTTCTGTGCTGTCAAGTGTACTAGCGCACAAGAAGAAAGACGAGGAAAAAAAAAAGAATGACTATCAATATGTTAGATGAGTGCCGAAAACTTTTCCCGAACAAAGGAAAAGTAATATATAAAGGTGTTCGGTCCTTGTTCTTTCTCTTTTCGTGCTGCTATATTTGTTTTTTCTTCGTGTTGGTGAAAAACGACGCTCCACTTTCAGGCCCTGGCCAGGCAGGCAAGAAAGAAAGTATGGTTACAACAAACAGTAACTTTCTCAAGAGCGCCCACATTCTCGAGACAAAATCTATAACCGCTCAACTCCTGCACCGCGACAGTGCGCTGCAGTGAATAAGAGCGCCGTGTTTCTTACGAGAGAACTCTGCAGGACACGACCAAGGAAGCGCGGATGTTCGGCCTAGAATGTTTAGCGGCGAGATTCACGAATATAAGTGCTACGCGAAAAGTTGGCCTAAGCGAAATTGAGGGACGCGAAAAGCTAGCGATTCGCACACGAACCTGTATGTTTTTTTTTCGTCACTGATTAGATATCAGTTCTCTTAGGAGAGCGGGCTGCTTCGCATTCCCGTAAATCAGTGTGGGAAGTCTTCTTTCGAGTCGCGAAAGTTACAGTTGACGGAAGAACGTAGTCTCGCTGTGCTATAGAATTTGTAAACGTATTCAGCCTCTTGTAGAGTACGACCTGTTGAATGATTGTTTATCTATTAATTTTAGGAAAACATCAAACGTATTATATATAACAATTCAGCTCATGTAAAATATATATGTTGAGCCAAGCGTACTGAAAAGCTGAAAATAAAAAGAGCAAAGCTTGTACCCCAACTTCCAATTAGGCAAACAAAAAAATCTTTCAGAGTCTTTTTGACGTTGCACAATTTTCAAATTTCTTAATTAGTTTTTATTGAAGCAATTTCTGAACATGTACAGACATGCATTCTTGTTTTTTCGCATTTGTTCATTTCTGAACCTACTCCGGCTACAATAGCCGTCAAGTCGACAGTACTAGACATGTTTCTTTAAATAACCTTATCAATGAAGATATATCTGCACGCATAATCAACTTCAGTGTAGTCCATGTTTTATTATTTCTAATATAATTTTGTACGCATGTGGAATTTTCGTCAGTGGCCGACCCAGCCTAATGTCCAAACTGTTGGTACATAAACGTTGTCTTTTCCCTCTCTCTAGCGACATGCTCGCTTGAGCGCCGTGATTGGACTATACTCCATAACGCTCCCTGCACAAACGTTGTGCTTCCCAGGCGGCGGTTCGTGACACTGGTAAGCATACACAGCGGTTGTCGCTCGTGTGGCTGCAAAGAACTGCTGCGTCATCGCACAATCCCGACCATCATCGCGCAGCCCTGCCGCCGATTAAGTGGAGGCACAAAATGCTATGAAAAGAGGAACATCCCGGAGCACTGTCACGCGGTATTTATTTATTTTTTAACCAATGTCGCGGGCATTTGTTGCAAGCGAAAAGCACGAATACTTAACAGATGAAAACTGAGCAACTATATGTATGTTCACTAAAACTTTTTGCCTAACTTCGTTGCTTCGAAAGTTAGTTATTCTTGCCTAATTATCCATTAGAAGAACAAAATATAGTTTATGCGATAGTCAGCAGCATGCATTTGGTCACGTCGTCATGGAATACGTGGGCACACTATGGCTAGAATCAGCTGGATGTGGGCAGCTACTTATTGAAACACCATATGTCCGAAATTTCCGCGACCCTCCTTTGCGGCGTGCCTGATGATGAGAGTAGTTTCGACGCATAAACCCCAGATGTAATAAGTAGATTCTGTTCGTGTTCCACCAGAGTAAGATTGGCCCGTGCACGCTTACACCAGGGTTAATGTCACTTTTACTGGCAGATTTGTAGAGACAAGACACCGTTATTTTTCGAACAAGCTCACATGGACGTTGCTGTATACACTTCAAGCTCTTAATGGCGCGTTATAATCCGTGAGTATTGTACATGCGGGTAATATTTACGTGTTGACACAATTTTACACATACAGACATTATTTTGTGGCTATGAATGTGCACAGTGGATCAAAACAGCTTAAACTGAAACTCATTCGAGAGAGATCTAGTATTGCACCGTCGAATAACGCACATCACCAGGATAAAAAACTTCACCATCCCCATAAACACACAATGCTCAGCCAAACCACGTTTGATTTTTCGGAGGGTGACTGTTTCAATGGGAGACGTTTCATACTTGTATATAGACATTTTTTTCTGGGCCGAATGCAGCGAGCGACTGCACGCTCCGCAATAATCGGAAATGCTTGGAACGCAGTTAGTTCACCCGTCGGTGCTCGCAGCTTCATGCTGTGAAGCACGCCGATCATTTCGCATTGTTCATTTGTTGCCAGTCGACTTCACGCTACAACAGGACTCAGAAAAACGCATTAATGGAACGTTTTCCAAATAATTTAGAACTTGTGACTAATTCCTTGACGTTCATTTAATTAGGTTGTTTTATTTATTCCAATTGTTTTATTTATTTAATCTGAGTGTTTTATTTATTTTTATTTTATTTATTAAGTCGATTTTTTATTTCTTTTTTTTTTTAATCGATGCCCATCACGTGCGGTTAATTCATCACTTCTCTGCGAACTGTTTAGCTCTTTGGCAGAGCATGGCAAAGCGGCTGACCAAGAAAGGCATTGCGTCTAGGGCACAACTATGTAAACGATAAAAAAAAAAGAAAAACCCCAAAACTTTAGATGGGAAAGGCCCGCTTGGGCACTACCATCTTGGTGGACGACCTTGTTTTTTCTTGCTTTCAAGACACGCAGGATGTTCGCATTCTTAGTCTTATAGCATCACTATCACACAGCCCCGCCGCGGTGGTCTAGTGGCTAAGGTACTCGGCTGCTGACCCGCAGGGCGCGGGTTCGAATCCCGGCTGCGGCGGTTGCATTTCCGATGGAGGCGGAAATGTTGTAGGCCCGTGTGCTCAGATTTGGGTGCACGTTAAAGAACCCCAGGTGGTCTAAATTTCCGGAGCCCTCCACTACGGCGTCTCTCATAATCATATAGTGGTTTTGGGACGTTAAACCCCAGATATCAATCAATCAATCAATCACTATCACACAGTCAGGCATAGATGAAGAGCCCTTTGGAACACATGTGTACCAGCGCATGCTATGTTTCGGTCAGTGCTTTTGGGTACGGAGGCGCGAGTCCTCCTCATGTTCACACAGGATAGAGAAGAAAAATATGCGGCGCACGTGGCCTCGCGTTCTTAGAGCGCGCAGACTACTGGTGCTAGGGCTCCGGAGCTGCTTTTCGCGCGTCACGTATACACGGGCAATCTGCCCGAACTGGCGCAGGAGCGATTGACGCTCTCTTCTGCTCTGGCACAAAGACAGGAAGTCGCTCGCGGATGGGAAGCCGGCTGCAGGGCACGTCAAGCGACACCCGTACTTTAAAAAAAAAATAATGTGAGCTGACACGTTTCTTTTTATTTTATTTACTTATTTATTCTTTATCTTTTTATTATTTTTTTGATAATAGAAATTCCATACTCACCCGAGACCCAGGAGCCATTGAATTTGCGCGGGTTGAACGTGCCATGGAGCACTTCTTCTAGCGATATCCTGGCCTGCTTCACGCGGGGTCCCTTGTCTCCTGAAACAAAGGCCAAACCCACTCACGACGACTGTATGCGGCGCAGGCAGGTGACGCTTCCTTGGCGGGCGAACAAACCCTGAAGAAAAGCCGCGCAAGTAATCTAGACAGAATAACGGGGACAGGACGTTTCCCGAAATGTTCATAAATACTTCTTTTTAAAAAAAATGCGCTAATTGTGATATTTGCTCACGGCCTTCGTGATTTCTTTTTCTTGTTGTGGCTGGCATATTGGTGCCAGCATATTGTTGGCGTCTCCAGATGACTGGAGACGGCAGCAGTTAAAATAAATTAAATGGACTTTTTATTTAGTAGAGATAGGCGGTCAAGTCAAATGGAAGAATTGCAGTTCTTCCTGCGATGAACATATTGCGACTAAGATTTGTAAAAACCAGCCGTTGATGACTTTAGCAGAATGACGAAATATATTTTCGCCGGCGATACGGAAACGAAAATGCGTAACAGCAGAAGCGTCATATATATTCTTCCGAAACGCCTAGACTGAGCGAGCGTCGTCATAACAACCAGCGACCGACTTCTTTTTGTGGGTGGGTGCGCTGCCCTCGCCATCCCCGAAAGCACTTCGCATGCGCGTTAACGAATGTAGAATACCTGAGAGTAATTTTGAATTCGGGGTTTAACGGTCCAAAAGCTTGAAACCGTTATGAGGGACACCGTAGGGGAGGGCTCCGGAAAATTTGACCATTCGGTGTTCCTCACGTGCATTGACTTCGCACAGTTCACGGGGCTCTGCCCTTTTGCCTAAATCTAAATGCGACCGCCACGACCGGAATCGAACCCGCGAACTTCAGCTGTCCGCCAAGGTCGAACAGTGGCTTCGGCGTTCGGCCACTGACCCGAAAAATGTTGGAATTGAAAATGAAGTGAAATGAAATGAAATAAAATGAGAAGTCAAAATTTCCGGAGCCCTCCCCTACGGTGTCTCTCATAACGGTATCGAGCTTTTGGACCGTAAAAAACCGTCTATTATAGATGAAGGCAGAAGAAGTGAAAGCTCTCCAATCGTTGTCATAAACAGCGACGTAATTTTTGTCATCAGCTAGTTGCATTCATAGGCCTTTTGGTCTTTGTTTCGTTGGTGCAGTTGGTGAAATTTCATAAATCCGCAATAATTACCTGAGGGTCTTTTTCGAAAATCTTGAATGACCACTGAGCTTTTCCTAGGACTGATATTGATTTACCCGCTTGACCCGACAGTCTGTATCCGGTAAGCGAAATGCTAATTAATCTACTTTCTTTATTAAGGCCGTATTTATTTTGTAGCAATCTTGAGATGTCTGCTGCCAAAAAAAAAAACAATTTAAAAGGTTAGAAGCAAACGTTTAATTGATTATATATTCGGTGATCCCAATTAAAACACATTTCTTGAAACACATGGGATACGAGAAAGGCAGTTCTTGCGCGGAAGTTGTTTTTTTTTCTTTATAGATGCTTGGATTTTTACGATTCACATTTTCACCGGTTTGATTGGCTAGTTTTCGAACGTTTATTATGTGTAACCAGTTTTTAAAAAGTTTGGTTCGGTGAACCACTAGTGCAGCAGCCAAATACACAAATATAGGTTTTCTCACCCACCCCAAGCGTTAGCAGAACTAACAGAAAATTGAGTTGGGGCGATTTTTCCAGCGAGCTGTAAACATTTATGTAAACGCTCGTAAATATTTAAACATTTACTACGAGGCCGATTCCTTCAGAACTCTCCTATAGGCGTCCCATAAAAACTAGCTCGCAATTTAAACGACAAGTTTAGAAATTAACAGTAGAACGAATTCACTCCCCCAAAACAACGCACTGAGAACTATCGGTGTACCGTTAATGCATTTTTGACGAAGCTTTTAAAAATGCTGCATAGCCATTTTAGAGGCTGAGATGCCTCTAAATTGGCTATTTGTATAATGCTAATTTGTATAATGAAATCGGAGCCCGGTAGTTTTTTTCTTATTTATTTACTCATATTGTTGGCTTGCCGGCTGTTACAGGGTATATGCTCTATTTAACCACTAGTATATCGTTAACAGCCATCTGAAAAATCCTCCTTTATTCTTGCAATAATTATAAAAAATAATTAACGGCCGGCTTTAATTGTAAGTATTTCTAATCATTAACGCTAATGCCACTACACAAAAAGATGAGGCCGCATTGACAAATCCTTTTGTTGGTATGTGCTCATAGCCATTGGTTGGTTGCGCTTGCTAGTTATATGTCCAGCACCAGGATTGGCTTAATTTTTTTCCTATCAACAATGTAAGCATGAGAACTTTCAGTGAACACAAGACTATGTTCTTGCAACACATTTGAAAATACCGGTTCTAATTGTTTACGCAACATTTTCTTTTCCAGCTTATAAACCTCCTTTCGTTTTGGGTTAAAAAGACGGAAGAATTCAAAAATTGCGATGCGGGGCGTTGTGTTGCTACAAATGTATTTGCTCGCTATACTTTCTTAGAGACGCAACCTATCTTGTATTTTTTATGCGGCTTAAAATATGATTTGTGCGATTATTGTTGTTCCAGTTAACAAACGCGAATCTGCTTTTTTTATCGATACAAATTGGTGGAAATTGCATGCTTCATTTTGTACTTCGTATCCGTCACGCATGAAATGATAATCCTCATTGTGTGCTGTTTCTATCTCAGAATACCACAGAGTTATGAAAGCGCCAAGGTCCTGATATGGCACAGTTTAAGATTCAAGATCAACTTTTTTAAAACAGAAACGTAGGATGATGAAATGTAGAGACACTACTTCTCTTTTTTTTACATCCTGATTCTATAAATTAAACACTTCTGTTGAATTACACCAGAACCAAGTCGGAATGATTGATGAACGTTAAATGTAACGCGCAAAATTTAAGGGCCAGTCTCGTCTACATTGCTGCGGCTGTCCACAATTGCTGGCCGCCATACAATCGCGAACTTAAAAAAAAAAAAAAAAACGTTTGGTTTAATTTTTGTATAAATAGTCTCTAGCCATCACCACGCCTTTGAGGAGCTGCGCACGATACTTAAAAGATTGGCTTGCCAAACCTTTGAGTAAACTTCGCTAACATAAAGCAATCAGATGTTTTTTTATATAATTAATGAGGAAGTACGGTATTTCTGATCGACGTGGTACCTGCCAACTTTGAAAGGCCAGAAAAAAGCCGGTCTCTCAGTGTTAGGGCCTTACGTGACCTTGCAGACGGGAACTTCAATGTAGGCCCTGCAATAAAAAACCGCACAGCAAAGTGCCGCAGCGAGTGAGTTACATGCTAGTAAGCGTGGGCTCGTTGTGCACAATATAAGACCCAAAAAATCCATGCCGCGTTGCACATGAGAAGGCCTGGAGTGCACTGTCAAAAGCTAACGCTTGAGGGTGGCGTTGAAAACATATTTGCAAGTGCTGTTGCGATCTTAAAGGCCAACTCCGGCGATTTTAGGAGCATGTTGAGGTAATGGTGTTTTTATGTTCAAGAGACACTCTTGTCGTGAGTCTAATGGGTGAAATGCTCTGGAAATTAGAAAGTAATTTTTAATAAGCAAAAATGCGCAAAACCGAAACCGAAACCTGACTTGGCTCCCTGTCTGCATATGACGGACTATTTGGTAAGAACCGGAGGCGGTATGCTGGTCCCGAGGGCACGTAGTATGAAAACTGCGAAGTCCAGACCAGCGAAGCGCCGGCCAAACACCACAGAGGAAGGAAGAAAGCTTTAGCGTGCTATACTCGTGCCAAAGACCGACGCCGTCACTTTGTGGACAGCACAATAAACACTGTATAGTGGCCGAAGTAGCGGTGCCATCGGCTGCGTCTCTTCGGCTGACATACCAAACATGACGTCACACAGACATTGTTGCCAACAATTCTGGCAAGCGAGGTGCGCTTTTCGAGGCAATCTTTAAAGTTCATTTGCAAGCAATCAACGGCATCTGTCAAGCCTGTAATTTGGGTAAATGACAGAAATGTGCAAAGGGACGTAACCAGTGAATTTCATTGAGATCCATTGACCTCGAAAAATCGCCGGAGTTGGCCTTTAAACTGGGAAACAACAGCTTTAGTAGAAACATAACGAAAGCTGTATGTCTCTACGTTGAGTCAGCCGCTCATTCTGAAAGATTAGCAGCCTTGGGGCTCTTAATGAAGTTAATGGAGCCATCAATGAACAGATACAGTAGCTTCTGTTCATTGATGACGGAATTCAAATATCTCGTTGTTAACAAGCTGCCACTAAGACTATAAGTTGCGGTCTGATGTTTGCTTCGAATACGCACACACAAAAATTAGGCCACTGTTTCCTGTTTCACATCGTGTACACATCTTTGGCGTATCGAAGTGCACTGTGCTCAAACAGCAACAGCTCTAGGTTTTTTTTTTCCTCGGGAGGGATGCGATGCGGGCTTGTTGCTATAGACCATCTTCATTAGGTTTCCTTGTAGACACACATAGCGCTAACATGATGTTCGTAGTAAGCGCCCTTTGCGCCTACATGTGCCTTCATTTCGTCCTGCCTTTTACATGCACTTAGAAGGAAACTAACTGAGCTCTTCTTCTCAGACTCACAAGAGCTCATGTTAAGCGCGACGATTTTCACACGTGACAGTGATGAAGAGAACGTAAGTGTTCACGTGGTGGCAGAGAACGTTAGCGAATTTCAGCTGAAATATAATCATGTGGTGCCGAGGTTAGTCAGAAGATAGGGGATTCCAAATATCTGCCATTTCTTGACGACTGCACCTAAAACAAAAGTGATGATATGAATGGGGAATGATAGAGCAAAGCCACCAGAACGCCGCGTGTCACCCACGCATGTCGCAGATGCCAGAAAGTACTGCAGCACGCAATAATTTCGAGCGACCTCATAGCGGCGGTTATACTAACAAAGTATAAGCTCTGTTCACGATAACTGACGCACCACATTATCTCCGTTTCTTTTTATTTTAATTCAACGATCTTGCGAAAGATTCTGTCACGGGTAATCAGGTGCGAGTTTCAACGGAGGCAGTCAAAAGAAACCTTTACTGACGGTAATACAATGTGCGGCACTTACGTTCTCCGCAGGTCACATAAGAAGCTACTCCTTTCTTACTTTCGTTTGAAGCACCTCTATCCCGATCTTCTATGCGAATCTAAAGCGAAATTTTCTCTTTACTTTCATTTCAGCCCTTTGAAGGGGGGCCATCAGTCTGGAACTCTATGCGCCAGTTCACTGCCTCGCCAAGAAAGTCCACGCTCTACTCTGAAGTGACGCTTCAGTTAGCACAACACACAGGCGTGCGAAAAAAAGCGAGCAAGCAAAGAACGAAGTCGTCACCGGGGGTGAGCAGTATAACGGCGGTGACGATGAGGGCGCAGACCCCAGCGATGACCAGAAGCGCGATGCCGATGCCCCGCCAGTTGCGACTGTCCGGTGCCGAGGACACCAGCTCCTGCGCAAGAGAGAGCGACACGTCAGCGCTTGGCAGTTTACTGGCCGCCGCATCGCCGCAGCCACGTGAATACAACCCGAAATAGTGCCTCGCTTCATACGTCCGCATGTGAAAGACAACAGACACTGAGAGATTATGTCCAGTAGAAAATGTAGAGATGGTAAGCGACATATAAATTCTAACTAAGCTTGCCCTAATTACACAGGAGCATAGTCAATAATTACCCTCCTGTGTTGCCTTATTATTTAATTTACCGAAGTGGTCATGCCTGAGCACAGTTTTTTTAGCCGATTCGTCACTTCATATAGGATTAGCTTCGTGAGCTAGTGTTAGCCAGCACCACTGAAGGTCATGGCAGCGGACGCAGAAGATCTTTTAAGTGCCACCGAACTTAGGAGCAAGCAAATGGTTTATAATTTGATAAAAAAGGAAAAAAACTATAAAGAAGCAGAGCTTCTGAAACCCCGAGATTCTTGTCGCTCCACGCGACCCCAGAGACACTAAGTGTAGAGCATGGCACGCACCAAGAAGCCGAAAGAAAGTCTAATCAGAGTGCCCTGACATTTCACGCCAAAGACGAAGCATTGAGAGCAATTTAGCGTCGCCCTTAACCCTATCTTACTCATCCCGTTTACTACAAAAACAGAGACAGACAGACACAGAGGGAAATATGGATTTATTGAATTGTTGGTGCGTACTGCAGCTGCTTTTTTTTGACGTCATCTGCGAACCAAAAGCAAAAACAAAAAAATTCGACCTTGTCGTTTGTTCTGCGGGTGCACTTGCTCAAAGCACACTTCAAAAACGCCAACACTTTCGCAGCGCTAAATCACGAATGATGTTCAATCAATGTCACGGTACATACTTTTTGCGTTTTAGTACTAGCGCTGTGACCAAGTGTCTTTCTTTTGTACTTCAATTTTCTTCGCGCAACTAAGTTAAGAGCATTGGCAAGTTGTAGTTATTCAGAATGCGGCGAATGCAACCTAGAGCAAGAGCACTAAACTAATCGTTGGCGTTCTTACGGCTTGTCCGAAACTGCCGGCTCAAAAATAAATCACTGCCGCCTTAATTTGCCCAGCTGAAGCGAAGAATCCATGCCGTGTCTTTTTCTTTTTACTATTTGGGGGGGGGGGGGGGAGCGTCAGAACTTGCCAAAGATGGCGTGGCAGCGGGGAAGGAGGGGGTGGAGAGGTTAACCGGGGAAAGGCCACGTATAGCCACTGGATTAGAGGTGACGAGAAAGCAAGGCTCCACATCCAAGGGTGCATCTTTTTCGGAGACCCAAGAAAAGGCTCGCGGTCGCATCGTTTCCCCACCGCCGATAAATGTGCGTGGTTCCCGTGACATACTTGCGTGTACACTTCGTCACTGTCAGCGCCCTGCAGTCTCATGCACTGGCCGGAACCCGAAGCGCAGTAAGACAAGCACGACAGCGATGAATCCTTTAGCTGGTGCTCGTAGCGTGTCTAACGGTCTTCGGACGCTGGCGAAACATTCTGGCAGATTGCCACGACACGATGGGCTGTAGGAGAACGCCGCTAGAAGGAATCCTGCTCGGCCGGCATGGCGGAGTGGTTGGTGCACCCACTCGGGCCGCCGGGCCCGAGACGTTGCGCGGTACAGTGCGGTTGCGGTCTACGCTCACGCGACGAAACGGTAGCCGTGCATACAGCCTCGTTTCGTTTGCAGCCTGAAGTGCTACAAAAGTGTACATTTTAGCCTCATCAAATCCTCCCTCGCGAGTGCGGACTTAGCTTGCTTTAGATAAACAGAATAAATGAAAGAAGCAGGTTGGAGCACGCAGAAACTCTTTGCTAACCTGATTCAGCAATTGTTTTACCTCGCAGCGCCATTCAACATCCACTCCAGATGTCGTAGCAGAAGAACAGAGCAGTCACCGAGGAAATGTTCTACAGTGGATGGTGTGAAATGCATGTTCCCTTTTTCCCCGCTTTACTGAGAACTCATGAATGCTCAGAGGAATCATCCCAGGTAAACCGGTGGATGAACATACAGACTACGCCTTGTCAAGAGATGAGCGATATTTCTTCCCTAAAATGTACTTTTTACAAGACGAGGCAGTGACGCTAAGGTAGCTGGAAGCGGTGCCACCTGTGTTCGTTGTAATACTGCTCTAAGCGGTGTCTTAATTATAACGTCTTTTTTAAGGCGTTAGGAAAGTCTTACATTTGGAACGACAACAAGCTGTTGCGTTTGTTGTGCCCAGGGCGCTGTAACTGCTCTTCACGGCAGAATCGGCGACGCGACGCTTAGCACTGGCAAATTACAGGTCGCTTCAATAACACATGTTTGTTTTCGAATCTAAAACGGAGGTCGCAAAAAACTAGAGACACGAAGAAACCGATACAGAGGAGAGAATAAAAATGTAAGGATGGAGCCAAATATCGACGAGTGTCGTGAGCCTTAGTTCTTTTTTAAGGGGTAAGTGTCGGCCTAACACATATCCATATCGTGCAGTGCTTCTCAAAAGTGAGTCCCCAGGTGGCCCACGACGCCATTTTTGGGGTTTATCGAAACCAACAACATGACCTTGGTAAATAAAAAACGCGTTTTTTAATTTAAAAAAAATGCACACTAATACCGCAAAAAGCGCTTCTGATTGTTTTTTTCGTATTCTTCATAGCACAACAGTTATGAATTGTACAGGAGCTGACTCAATTATTTTTATTATTTTATTGAGTACCTGCAGTGCCTTAAGGCATTATTACAGGGGAGAATGCACAGGGTAGCACATGCCTACATACAGAGGATAACCGTGCAAACAAGAAAACACAAAAACAGAAAAAAATCCAAAGATGTTATGAGTGTAAAAGAATGTTAACAATATCTTGCCGGAGCTGGCGCGCCTGAGAGATTGTGCGTGGTAAAAGCGAGTGTTGGTAGATGCTCATTCCGCAAAACAGTGCTTTTATTTTCAAAAAGTGGCCAATTCTGTGCGATAAGAAATGGAAGGGTAAAAGGTAAGATGCTTTATGGCATCATTTCCCTTCTTCCCGAGATGGCTGCAAAGCTTCTATTGAAGTTTTGTACAGTGTACGGACGATGTTTTATATGCTTGAAAAATTTGAAGAGCAATGTTGAATGTTGTTCAATATGTATTTGAATAAAGAAGATAACGAAGGGTGGACACGCGAGGTGAGATCGAGCATAGTGTGCAGCACGGAGCGTTTACCTGAGATGGACGCCTTCTTAATCTGTCCTTAAACATTTGTTATTCACAACTTTCACGACCTATAGGTGGCACGAGTGTACATCCAACATGGCTGTCATTGAGATGATCGCCAAGAAAGAGACGATACGGGAAAGTACATTTTTGGTGAAGACTGCAATTTTCCACGCTTCGGTGGCCCTTCAATTTATGTTTTTGAGAAAGTAGGGGAGCGTTAAAATATTATAATAAGTAAATAAATGCTGAGTAGCACATTGGGTAGATAAATATGCGCAAAATTGTAATAAGGCACACACGTAAGCTCTTCACCAGGCGTTTTGCGTAATCGTGCACAACGCCTGGTGTCATGTTGGAAAATCATTAAAAGGGAAGTCTCAGTACAAACTTCTCAGTAATGTCAAAAACATTTTCGCAGTCGTGCTCTGTCTTACAGTTTTGCTTGCATTGTATTCTGCACAAAGCTTGTTCAGTTTACCTAAAAGCACGAAGCAGAGTGAGCTGACGAAAAAAAAGTAGTTGTTTTTCAATTCCGAAGCACTAAAATAACAGAATATCAAGAGAATGAGTTCAGCAAGCAGCACGAACGAAAGCAATGGTGATATACAATTTTGACATTTAAGAGGGAACGTTCTCGTCACTATACTATGTTGTGGTGTTTGAGAAGTACAAAATATAGCATGGTACGGGGCAGAAACGACAAAAAAAAATCGCCATCAGCAAGTAAGACCGAACAGAACTTGCTGCAAATCTGAAGGTCATGGAGGCACTTCGCAGCCGCCTCAGATGTGTAATTATGCGATGAACGTTTTAAAACCGGTCCTTTAATTCTATTCTAAAGGCGGAACGCAGTCCTAATTTAGTTCTGGTACTGTTCTGGTTTCGAAGCATTGAACTCGTACAGGAGCCTGGACCCAGAGCCGAGTTCTGTATGATTCTTTGTGCCCACCCGATTCGGTAGAGTAAGCACTCTTTGTAAAGACAGCACGTACCTCTAGCGTATATATTGTTTCAAATATATTTCGCGGCATGACAAAACTAGAGAAAATTATGCAATTACGAAGAAAATTGTGAACACCTCACTTCGCAAAACTAGTACTGTAATAGACATAGCCAGAGCGATTGCCACTTTGACTACTTTTATACTATTTTTTGCTCTTTCTTTGGCCAATCTCTGCCATAAGATTTCTGTTTAAATGCTTTTATGCAACGTGATTGTTTTCAAATATAAAGATTGGAGTTTCCCAATTGGGGAAATCGGGTGACAAATATACGCTGATGATTACGCGATTTCACTTCGGACGCGTGGGATCGATTTGTGGCGAGTGTTGCTGCATAATTCACGCGAAGCAGAACTCGACGACGCCCACTTAATTTGAAATTCAATGCGCCCCTCGGGAAAAACTGTCATTCAATCGAAGAAAAAGACGCGCGCAGAGCGTAAATTTGACGAAAACAATGTTGACGAAAAACACTTGTTACAATTCATGCCGCTCGCCCTTAAACTTATTTTCGCTCGATGGGATTATACAAAATGATGTCGGCGTCAGCAATTGGTGCTGACTTTTTCTTGTCCCGTGTGAAGAACTGAAATATATTGTGGACAGTCACATAAAAAGGTCGGTAAGTGATATTGCATGCGAGATGTACCTAACAAATTTTAGCCAACTCGTATAAAACCAAGCGAAACTGGAAAAAAGGACGACAGAAAACAGTCAGTATAAACTTAAAACTATATATATATATATATATATATATATATATATATATATATATATATATATATATATATATATATATATATATATAT